AAAAAAAAAAGATAATAGGATTTTTCCAAGAACATGTTCTGGCCAAGTTCTCTGTCTCGCTCTGAACCCAGCATCTGACTCATCATCCTCTGATCTGTGTTTCTTGGAATGTGAGCCAGAGCCTACTTTCTGACCTGCTGATATGGGGTTCCTCAGCCTTTGCAACCAGCAACCTATCAAGTTTGGGTTTGTTAGCCCATGCAACCACATGAGTCAGGAGAGGCCTCCAGACTGATGTCTGACCCATGAATTTGGGACTTGCCAACCTATACAACTGTGTAAGCCTTTTCCTTAATAGTTCATGAGTTCTGTGATATAGAAAGCATAAGACAAGAGGAACAGTATTGAGGGGTGAAGGAATAGTTGATGTTACAGATGATGGAGTGGTATAGCATTTTAAAAAGTTGAACCTTTGGAACATCTTTATAGGACATCCACCTTTACAGGGACCAGCCTTGACATAATCCCTTCTAAAAGAAATTATTCATGTAGGGGCAAAATGTATAGACTATCCCGTGAAAGGATCACAAGGGGCTGGTAATAAAGGCTGTTTCCAGGAAGGGAAACAGTGTGACTGGAAGACAGGGGTAGATGAGAAACTTTCTTTTTCATAAACCTTTGTCTCTTTTATAAACCTTTTGTATTATGTGAATGTTTTACTTAGTCAAAAATAAAATTATTTTAAATCAACATGAAAAAAAAAGTATGAGAAAATGGCTACACTTTATCAGCTATAAATCATCTTAAAATATCTACCAGTACCTACACTCACTCAGTGGGTATTCAGAATTCAAGAAATGCAGCTTGAATTCTATAAATAGAAATAAAAGGCATGCTAAGAGAGGGCATAGAAAAATCAGAAATTTAATTCAATTCCTGAAATTCAAATTGGAGATGAAATCATCTATAATCTAGTTGTATCCTAAAAATAGTGTCAGACACCATGCTCAACTGGCATAACATAATCCACAAAGACAATGCTCGGTCCTGGGCCAACCTCACAATTGTTGCCATGCTTGCCCATTGATGCTGCCACTTTGCCAATCCATCTCGCTGGGGTTCTTCCTGTTTTTCTTTGACCCTCCACCTTACCAAACATGATATCCTTCTCCAGCGACTGGTCCCTCCAAACAATGTCTGAAGTATGAGGGACGAAGTTTGGCCATCATAGCCTCCAAGAAGCACTCTGCCTGCACTTCTTCCAACACAGATCTGTTTGTTTTTTTTGGCCGCCCATGGCACTATCAATATTCTCCTCCAACACCATAATTCAAAAGCATCAATTCTTCTACGGTCTTCCTTACTCACTGTCCAGATTTCACATACATATGAGGTTATTGAAAATACCATGGCTTGGGTCAGGCACACCTTAGTCCTCAAGCTGACATCTTTGCTCTTCAACACTTGAAAAAGGT